ATAATTAGAATTCAGAAGCAGCCATCTTTTCTGATACAATGGGGATTTGTGGTTTTGTCTTCAAGAAATATCTTTTCTAACCAGAGACAATGTAGTTGATATATAACGTAACTCATTCACCAGTCTTTTGATGGGTTCACTGAATAAAGTTCTAAGTCATTTTCTTCATAAGCCAAACTCATAATATACCATCTTGGAGTATGAGTTCCCTGAGAACAAAAATCTAAAGAATTTGATGTGCAGATCACCTAGATTTCATCTTTTTTAATTGTCAACTCTATACCTAATTGAAAGGAAAACTAAGATTAATGCAAATTAAACTTAGCTTTATAGACACAGCTTTCTTTTCCCCTCCCATTAATTGGCTTACGTAATGTTTAATGATATAATTACAGTAATGAATTTAGTCAGCACTGTTGTTTGGAACAACAGAGCAGAATCTTAAGCTTGTGGCTCAACTGGTGAAAGCATAAGTGTGTAAACAAACCTGCAAGGATCCTACCAGCCTGTAGCCTTCAGCCTACTTTGTGAACAAAGCCTTGTTAGTTCTTTCATTCATACTTGGATGCAGACAGGTCAAGTGGCAGAGGAAAAAATAATGAATTTGAGAATCTGTCATAAATTTTTTTTCTAAACTACAGGAGTACTTAATGCTAACATTTTATTGGTTTTAAAGTAATTTATTTAACTGCCCACCATGTATATTTGAAAATAGTCAAAACTCTCCATCTGTTTCCAAAAAGAAATTTCTGTACCGAAACCATTTTGTGTAGTTGGAAAGCTCTAGAAAATGTTCAGTTAGTGTAAATCTTCTTTCCTGTAACTTTAGAATCTTCATTCTTAAACACTGGACTAGTACAGAACATCAGTGCACAAAATTGGTTTGCTGTTTAGTAGCTGCATCTTTAGGCAGGTTATCCAGACTCTGTGCATCATTTCCTCACCTGTTAAAAGGCAAATAGCAACTGCCACACAGAATTACTGTGAGAACTGCTTTAGTTCAAAGGATGCTACCTTCCTCCCTTTGAATTGAATTCCATGTGCAAATAGGTTTTCATCAGTTATTCCATTTCTATCCTCAGCTTCTAGAGGGTGCTTGCAACATGAGCAGGCATTTAACAAATACTTCCTGACAGAATGAACAGGCATTTCTATTAAGGACTAGTGATTTTAGTGAAAGACAGATTGAGGGTTTTTTAATCCTTTCTAGATTTACCTTGTCTCATTTCTCTCGTAGGAAAACTGTTTGTGGGTGGTGGTTTTGATGGTTCTCATGCCATCAGTTGTGTGGAGATGTATGATCCAGCCAGAAATGAGTGGAAGATGATGGGAAACATGACTTCACCAAGGAGCAATGCTGGGATTGCAACTGTTGGGAACACCATTTACGCAGTGGGAGGATTTGATGGCAATGAATTTCTGAATACGCTGGAAGTCTATAACTTTGAGTCAAATGAGTGGAGCCCCTATACAAAGATTTTCCAGTTTTAACAAATTAAGACCCTTTCAAACTAACAGGCTTTGTGATGTAATTGTTTAGTAGAGGTACTCTTGTGAATAAGGAGGGTGGGTGGGTATAGATGTTGCTAACAGCAACACAAAGCTTTTGCATATTGCATATTATTAAACATGCTGTACATACTTTTTGTGTTTACTGGGAAAGGAATGCAAAGATGAAGGTATGTTTTGTGTATTTTTAGGGCTACTTTGGTTATATTGCTTTTTGGAAGTTGATATTGTAAAAGAATAAACCAAGAATTGATTGGGCATGTCATTTCAACAAGTCCCCTCCCTCTCCACATTTGTTTTGCCATTTGCACATTAAATGACTCTTAAACACGTATAATGGGGCAAGAGGGGTAGGATTTTAAGATACAGGCATTTGGGGTTTTTTAAGGACCCTTTTTCAATAACTGGAACACTCTATAACAAAGGAAACCTATTTAACTAGATGACAATGACTATTTTTGTTTTTATTAGAAGAAAGCTGACATGCCTACCACGATTTAATCTTTTATGATTGCCTTTTTATAACTTTTTATATTCTCAGCAGAGTGCTTTACCTATTGAAGATGTGGTAGTTTCAAATTACTGAAGCAGTGTGGCAGCCTTGAAGTATGCCGACTGAGGTGTCCCGTTATACCCAGAATGCAAACTTCAGAGCTTTTCCTCAGCTTTTGTTAGAGAATGAAGTACTGTTATTTGAACGGGGTTGCTGAACAGTAACATAGCTGTCATTTTTTAATTTGAAATTGATTTTAAATATTTTTGACTTCTTTATATGGCAAGACACTATAACAGTAAAGAACAACAAAGTATATTACCCTCTCAATAATTCCTGTTTTTATTTATCATTAACAAAATAATCCTAAATGGCAGCCCTCAATTGTGAAAAAAGTGATTTTAATCTGTATGGGTTTATGAATGCAGCCTCTATCACAACTGTGTTTTTGTTCAGTTTTTCTATTCATGTGGATAAACACTCTTTGGGGTGACTTGGTATCTGGTGTGTAGCTACACACGACAAGGTGCCAACATCGGCGCATCCTGATGCTGCTGGCGCAGCATATTGAAGGGGCTTTGCAGGACATCTTTGCACCACGGGATCCACATCCAAATGTTGTTGTGTGTACTTGTACTCATTCATTACTTTAAAAGTTTCTGGGGAAAAGGTTTTTTTCAGGAATGATGAGCTTAAGGCATTTGTGGAAAAATATTCACCCAGCATCTTACATCTGGAAATAGGGAGTGGGGTTTTTCCTCTCAGAGAAGATGAAGCACAAGGGATCTAACGAGCCACCTGGAGCAGAGCAGCTGCCGTGGCTGGCGTGGGTCAGGAAGGACATTGGGTATTTTCTCCAGTGTTGCACTGGCACTTTCACACCTTATTTCTCTCACCTAATTCCACAAAGAACCACCAAGAAAGGAAATCAGTTCACCTGCTGGCTATTAGTTCTTGGCTATATCTGTGGACTAAATCTAGGTTGGCATATTTAAATTTGCCTAACATGAAGACTGTTTTTTAAATGGCTCTGTATATGTTCTATTTAGTACAAGGCAATAAAATTTCAGTTGGGGATTCAGCAGTATGATCCTTGAAATCACTTCTCCAATTCCGAAGGAACATGATCAATGCAAATAGTAGGTGAGAATCCTGTGGGTCATAGTTTACTGTACTACTGATGCCAAACAGGTAACCTAGTGGCTGAAAGCTATTTTCAAGTCTATATTTTGAATATAAGAAACTTCCGTAAAGGAAAAAATGCTCAGTGACCAGTTACTGTTTATCCACATCTAAAAAGTGTATGTGTTCTTGAGAGAAGGAGAAAATGTGGCACAGCCTCAGTGTAATTAAAAAAAAATTTTTTTTACTAGTATGGGTTTTGAAGTCATTTAAAAATAATACTGGCAATAACCACTCTTGTGGTCAATTGTAATAATGTGTCAAACAGAACATAGAGCAAAAGTATAAAATAACCTTTTAACAAAACAATTGGTTATATCAAGGCATGAATTTTCAAGGTAGGGTTTGGATTTTTGGCTCCTAGCAAATTGTATATACTTTACCATTAATGTTTTAGAATCCCTTACATAATCATCTTGGGGAAAACCCTGAATTTGGGAATGTGATAACTGCTAGAACCCTTATACCCTAGGTATGTACCCTGTAATCTCTACAGATCTCAGAATTAAAGTAGGCAAAGAAGAGTCCCTTTAGGATTATTGCCTTTAGAAGGAAGAGTATGAATAACAGAAAATTCAGTCTCTAGTATTTGTCATTTATTTGTATACTACTTTATTCAAAAAAATTACTTGAGGAATCTTCATTGAGACATAAGATACAAAGTAAACTGGGTGAAAAAGAAAAAACAGGAACACCAATATATGAATGTTGAATAGTAAAGCCAAGCCACAAATTTGGTTCTGTAAACAAGAGACTTGTTCATATCATCCACAAGAAAGGATATCCTTCCATTTGTGGCAACATGGATGGACTTTAAAAAAGTTGTAAAACAGTAAAATGAATGTTACCCAGGGATGGGAGAGTGGGATAGAGGGATGGTGTTTAAGGGTACAAACTTGTCATGAGAAGCCATAAAAGGCCTAATGTACAGTATACTGAATGTAGATAATATATGTGGCATCAGTACATTGGCAATTATATTACAAGATATAAATGTATCAAAGCAAGCCATACAACATTACACGCCATTGATTTAAAAAAAAGTTAAATCCTCTAGATCATAAAAGGAATTACTGTGAAGCACCAATTTCCTTATTAAACCCATAAGTTTCTCAATTATCTTAACATAATGCACTGAACAAGTAGAATTGCTAAAGGGACACAGTCATGTGCATGGGTTCAACCTACTAGCACAATGGCCAAGAGAAAAGGTTCACTTAATAGCTCCGTGCCTTATTGGGGGCTGAGTAAGGTGAGGAAAAAGCTCAGTTATTAAGCTGGGTATGTAGAGGGTTCATATTTTGTGGAAACGAATGGAGAAAAAAGGCCTGTGTCTGAACAGAAGACTACACATCTGCACAGAGCAAAGTGTAATACAATTTTAGCCTTGAAAAAGGCACACAATAACAAAGTAAGAGAAGAATGAAACTTACAAACCAAAATACCTAGCAATTTGAAAGTGCCACTATATTAAAAGGCGGC